AGTTGCCTCCCTTGCGGAGCTCGACGAAGCCCATCTTGGCACTCTGAACACGAGAGTTCTGAAGCCATGCACGGACGATGACGGTCTTGCCATTGTGGGAATCGTTCAGCTCGCGGATTTCGACTTCTTCGGCGTCCTTGCTGAAGACGGGCTTGGTGCCGTAGTTGTCCTGGGCGGGGTCGTCCTCGAGAGTGACAGCGGCGGCTTGCTGGGCGAGCTCTGCCGCGCGCGCAGCCTTCATGGCCTCCTTCTTGGCCTTAGCCTCGGCCTTCTTCGCGCCCTTCTTGGACGTCGGTGCTGCTTCGTCGGCCATGATGCTGAAATTTGTCGTTATTGGTGATTGAGCTCGACACACGATCAGGCGTAGAATTGAGGGGTAAGGTGAGGTACAGCCAGTGTAATGGAGGGGCAATGAGGGGCAGGGTGGGAAAATTTTGGATGTCATTCCACCACGTGACTCTTATACCAGTAATGCACAGACCACTGCAGCTCGGCGTGACGTGGTGGGATGGATTCGGAGAGCTTCTTCTGTCAGACACATGCCCGTGTACTGGACTGTCAAAGTCGATTCGGATTGTAACCACGACTCATTGAGCTTCAAAGATGTAGATGACTCATTTTTAAGCCGCATTTAAGCGTAAAATCGGTAGTCATGCGAGGAAGTCGAGTCTACAAGAGCAATAGGCCGGGACTAGATGAGCTGGTCAATACTGGCGATGATCGTCAACATACCGGGAGCCTAAACAAGTTCACAGATGTTACAGTCAGCATTGGTTTTGAAGACTATCGGATTTCTCTCTTGTCTGATGTGAAGCTCCCATCCACCGTAATGAGTAATTCAAAACTGGCTCAAGTAAACTTGAGCCTAGAGCCAATTACACTCCATGTTCTCCTCATCCTAATTGTCTGCATCACCATTGGCCACAGACATGAGATTCTCGCATTGACATAATCTTTTCTTCTACTTTTATGTGAGACTTCAAGGTCATTCTTAGAGCCTCTGCCTGGACATGCCGTCTTGAAGAGTGAGTTCGAAACCGTCGAAACCTCTTTCTATTGGCGATGAAGGATCTTGGGCCTAGACAAAATCCCTTCCGCAAGCCTTTCTGTCGGTGAGTCCTGGGCAATCATGTCAAGCACCAGATAGACTCAATATGAGGGGTTCAAGCCTATCAACCCTGGCCAATAAAGGTTACATTTTCGACAACTCCAAAAGCACAAAGGAATGTGACATCTCGGCAAAACAATAGGTAAACAAAAGGCACGCTTCTGTTGGGCTCCGTTCATGCTTCTACCCATATTGCGTTGTCATCGGGTCTCTCCCCCTTATATCATCTGTGCAAAATCGTTTCTTCGTTCATACGCCAATCTCTAGCCCCAAACACCTTTAGTCCGTTCCGAGCCTCCACAGACCATCACCGAGGAAATGCGCCTCCTCGACCACAGGCCCCTTGCCCTTATCCTTGACCTCCTTGGTACCAGCAACCAAAAACCCAACAGCGCACGCCTCCGTCTTGCCCTCGGCCATAATAACAACCGGCTCCCCCTTCTCCAGCTCCCGGCTCCACCTCCCTTCCTCGTCGACGCCCTCGGCACCCTCCCGGGGCTCAGGCAAACGGCCGCCCGCGCTCGTCAGCCCGGGGGCCATGAGCGTGGCGCCCGAGAGCACGAAGCGGATGGCGCCGCGGTCGATGCGGATAGTCGGGAAAGCTTGCGGGAAGCGGTGAACGAGCTTGAGGTGCGGGACCAGGGTGGCGTTGTCTTGCTGGTAGAAGAGGGGCAGCTGCTCGCAGACGAAGAGGGAGCAGCGGTCGGGCAGCTTCATCTGCTCGAGGGAGGCCTTCTTGGGCATTACTTCTTCGATGTAGGGGTTCAGTAGGGGATAGCTCGAGAGGAGCGAGTCGCGGAGGGAGCGCTGGACGGAAGACTTGAGCTTCTGCTTCGGCTTGGAGGTGATGCTGCGAGGGCGGGGTAATTTTGTTAGCTTTCCTGCGGGTTTTCTGTGGCTTGATCACTGGCTGTCTGGATATGTGACGACGTACTCTTTCTTGAACATTTTGACGGTATTGAAGTCGACGTCTGCTAAAGAAAAGAAGAGGGTATCACTGGTGTTTTTGGGACGTCGAGATCTGGCGCGTCTGTAGCAGTCTGGTGGTAGTAGATGGTGGGGTTGTCAGGAGCGAGCATCGCCGACGAAAACTGCCCCGCAGTCGGGCGGGCGGGACGGACCAATCATGCACGAATGGAGGGGCAGACGCCTCACGCGCGAGGGGTTCACACTCCTATCATCACGTCACTTTCATCAATGGGAGAAAAGGGACAAATTTCGAGAACTCTTGACTTAGGGGGTTAAAAATCATAATTCTTAAAAAGGTCGTAACTATACTGTCATGCAAAAAGCTCTATCGTAATCCATCATCGCGTTCGCACTCCTGCAGCCCATGCTCAGAATCTCTCCGAGCGCAGGCACAGGAACTCCATCGTTGCGACAGCTCAACCGTGGTTGACATGGGAGACAGTTCCGTCCTCCTTGACGTGGACGTTGAGTCTGTTGGGTCTGAAATCCTTAGTGACCATCATGCCAGGCTCGATAACGCGGGACTCCTCCGGGAGATCCCTCTTGCAGAAGGTCTGGAAAAGCATCGTCGTTAGCACGACCGAGTGTTCTTTCATAGAAGGGGACGTAAGCTCACTGTCTCGTTAGACTCCTCCTCGTGGAGCTTCTTTCCGACCAGCTTGTTGGTCCAGAGCTGAGTCTTGTCATCGGAGTCATTGTTGTTGATACCAGGTACGACGAGAGGCATGATGACGGTTGTGCTTATGAGGTTCTAAGGGTGATGGTTGCTATCGGTAGGTTAAGAGCGTATGTGCTTAGGTATGTGAAGTTTGTGTATTAATAAGGTTGTGTGAGGAGATGAAGACTGGAGTAAGTGTTGGTTTAATAGCGAAGAAGCGTCGTGGACGTCCAAAACAGGAAGGTTGGAGGTCTAGAAGCTGCATCGACCGATGACGTCGGTAATCGTGTGGGGGCGGGGGTTTTGTTTCTCGCAGAACTCAGGGACTGCTCCTCCGACGCAAAGCGCCGCCGGGACGATCTTGGAACCGAAGCACGTCAACCTCTAAATGCCCGGAAGTATGTACATAGGTCATCTCTGATCCCTGTTTCTTATCTTGCTCGGATATAAGGCACTTGGCAGATAACTTTTAGTCCAGATGGGCTTATTCAAGATCAAATTCTCGTCCAAGTCCAAGCCAGATGTGTGCATGTGATTCATAAACAACCAAACTCCATACTGAAATTACTGCGCAGCAGCGATTCATATTGCGAGGGCCGGCCTGGCTGGGTGACGTTCTGAACACATCATTAATACCTTGGCACGTCTATCCATCGATTCAGAACAGAAGTAATGTGTGCTGGGAATATTCAACGCGCGAATAAGATGAAACCATTCACGGAGTTCAAATGAGGAAGGTAGCAGCCACTGTGCCATGTTAGGGAGGTGCACGAACAGGTTGAAGAAAGTTGGCGAGCCCAAGTCTCCACCAACATTGAATTCTCTACCTACCTTACAGAGGAGTAATTATGCTGACCACTTTCGTTATGGAAATTGCACTGCACACAAAATATGACTGCACCGCCTCAGTCATAGTCGATAGCTCTTCGATCGTTACTCCCTTGGAATCAAGTACGAATGCACTGTTTGAAGCAATCCAAGTCTGACGGAGCCGAGCCCCAGGACTGCAATGAGATAAGCACAGAATTAAGGTAAGCACGGACAGGGCTGGACTGGGCCTCAGCTGGGTCTGTGCACTTCTAGAGAGGATGTTAGGCGCCTTCCTTCCTCCCCAGGCAGAATCGTTCGAGATGGTTCTTACCGTTCCTCCGTTGCATGGACGGAAAGAAGGAACCGTCTTGCTGCTTCCTGCTATACTAAGGATACTGATCGTTCACATGCCGTTGTCTGGCCAGCTCAGAATTTTCCTGTGCCTGGCAAGAGTCGGTCCGAGGAAAGCTACAATGGGCGTCACGGGGACAGAAAACATTCCGTCCGCACCTTTGGAATGTCGGGTGTCCTGGTTCCTGATATTGCCGATTCCCTTCACCTCCAGCCGAGATTCTCTGTCAGCGAGAAAGAAACAGCGCCCCGCCCCGATTTCACGGTTCCAGTTCCCCATGGTCTTCAATGGGGCCATGATTACGGTTATGGATTTAAATCCTGCTGATGGTGTTTGTTTTCTTGCTTACTGCCAACAGAAAGGCGACCATGTCTCAGGTGGATGCCCGTCTGGGGTTATTCTCAACGTCTGACCGCACCACCGAGCCGTTTCCCGGCCAGCTCTTGCAAGAATGGCACTGGCACTAATAGAACAAATGCAAGACGCCAGTATGAGAAACGTGGCCAGGGAAATCATTTTGCCTACTTCTCCCCGCCTACCTGTAGATGAGAGACATAGGTATTGAACTCTCGCGAAGCTCAGTCCAATCATCCAGCCACGGGGAACCCCCAACGTCTAATGATCAGTTAGACCTCAGCTGGTCCATGGTGTGGTCCGAATAGGGACGGAGACTAGGGGTTGGCTCAGCTTACAGGGTGGCAGGTCTCAGCCACGGGCAAGTCGAACCAAAGAACCATCGGCCAGTTGGAGCCGCAGCAGGGATCAACCACCACAGCCCTCAGCACTAACAACAAGCGAGCGATTTCTTCCCTTCTTCCTCTTCTCCTTCAGCCATCAGGGAAGCTATTCCCTAACCCCCCGCCAGATGAAAAATGCTGCAGCCTGCTACATGCTACATGGCGGAATTGGACCACGACAAGGCAGATGCGAATCCGGTGCGGCGGCTTGCTATTGGCCCTGCTTTCCGAAATCCAGTGCAAGTTCCCCCTCGCCTCGTGGGGTTCCAAGTCTTAGAGTTTGCTCTGTGCCCTTCCTCTTAGACGACTTGGGCCAAGCCGCGTGCCGGGAACAGAATATGCTATTTTAGCTCGAGGAAGTGGATTCTGGGCCCATTGCGCTTCTCGACAATCGAGAGCTTCATTAGGAGGCTCGGCTGTATCGACAGAACGACCTTGCGGCCGAAGTCAGACCTCTGATACACTTGACGTCGAACGAAGCGAAGTCAAGGCTTTCTCGAAAGAGCAAAGAGACATGCTGCGCAAGAACCGACAAGAAATTACACGGCGAATTTACGTGAAGGCATCGTGAACCGCCCGTGCAGACGCAGATGCGACCAACAGAGCTAATTATGGAGGCCGGCGCCGTCAGCCACCACGACTCCAACTCCCATTCGCCGGGTGGGCTAGCAAAGGGCGAGCTATCACAAGGGCTGTGCTGCAGGAGCATGAGGTAGCACCACCAACAAACTCAAGCTTACAGAGTCCAAAGTAGAGCACACAGTACCGTCTCTTCCGGGAAGAGCTGCTGCGGAATGAAGGCCCCAGCCTTACAAGCCCCCCAAGCCTGGTTCTGCTAAGCTGCAGGTAAGCAACGAAAAGAGTGAGCCTAAGCGGAGATCCAAGACATGACCAATCCTGAACCCAACGGGCACTGGGGCACCCGTGCTGAGGTGCATTTTGCTCTCGTGGCATTGGCATTGGCGTCGTTGGCGTCCCTCAGCTCACAGCCAGAAACGAGAGGTAGAGACAAGCAGCAAGACAAGGACGGTGAGGTGACAATAGCAACAAGCCCAAATGGGCACCACCAGGGCCCCGAGGCCCCGAGAGGCGTTCAGCTCCTTCACTTGTTTTTATTGAAGCTCATTCCCAGCTCATCCGGCGTAGGTCATCCTACTTTCCTCCCTCGTCCTGATTCTTACCTCCCTTGACCATACAAAATCGCTCTTCACCATCACAGTGGCATCCCAGGTAGATACCGATCGCCTGTTCTCGACTATCCGACTTCCAACCTCACTACTCCATACCATACCATACCAGGAATTGCCTTCAATACCTTGGGGTAGCTTGTTCTATTCACGGCACTGAGAACCGAGGCTGCCGGTTACCGACCCAATCTTCCTAATCAGGAAGCTGCCAAACCCCAACAACAGTTCGCCATACAGCACCACGTCGTCTCCTGATACTCTGGGGCCGGCACTTGAGCACCCACTCCGAATCTGCCAATCCCACCTTCAACAGACCCCCGTCCCGGCAATCATTTGCAACACCCCACAAAAGCCCGGGCAATATGCGTTCATCCCAGTCCGCTCCGGCGCTCGTTGCGCTTCTCTTTGCGGCCGCAGCCTCGGCCCTATCGCCGGCGAGACTGCATTGCCTTCGGTCACGGAATCTCGAGCTGGCTAGATTGGCGGCCTGCGGCGAACCTGGATCCGTGGCTCACTGCATAGAGATGCTCACAGACGACTTTACACAGACTGATCTGGAGAGATGCTACATCAATGCTGGTTGCGACTTTGCCGAAGCCGTGATTGAGTCGCAGTGGACTCTGGACAGGTGTGACAACAGCGGCAGCGCCCCTGCGGAACTGCGCAAACGCCATGTCACTGTCTTCGCGCGTCAGACTACAGAGGCGACTGCGGCAACCGCTGAGACGGCCACGGGTACAGCCACCGGCACGGCAACCTATTCCAAGCTCACGTGCTCAACGACGACAACCAAGGCGACCACGCAATGCCCCGTTGTCTCGACTGGCGTGCAGAAGGGCAAGACTCTCAAGGAAGGCTGCTTCCCGACACAGGTGGTGTACGGAACATGCGCGGCGGGTCTGCTTTGCAAGAACGATAACTCGGGCAACCCTTCGTGCAAGGTGCTGGACAACACTGTCTACCCTGGCGGCATCGCTGTGGCGCTCTTTTTCGCCGTGGCCATCACGGGTTCCATTGCGTGGATCACTTTCCTATGCTGCAAGGAGAGGAAGCAGAAGAAACGCAACGCGGCGAGAGCGCAGGCCGTTATGGATGCGAAGATGGCGGCCAAGCGACAGCCAGCTGTGCAAGTTCACGATTCGGACAACCAGCCTCTCATGTCGTATGGGCAACCGGCTGCTGCGTATGAAGCGCACGGTCCATTTGGTGACCAAAACCGGATGTAAGGCGGAGATGCGGATGGGTTGTGGATTGCGAGGGGGGGATGAATGATCAAGCCTCGACCAATACCTAGGCGAGCGTTGATCGGAGACGGAGGCGTAAAGAGCAGTCATGGTTCAAGATACCTAGTTGCGTCGGGATTCTTATTTCGGTGTTTAAAGGGCGCATCAAGGTTCATGGGATGAGGCATGAGCCAGCGAGTCAACCAAAATTCAAGTCACTATCAATTCATTTGAGATGCCTCGTCAAAGGCTGACTGTGCTGTCAAGCTGACCCTGCATAAAAGTGAATTAGTTGCTCTAGTATGCGACCGGCAGAGACCGGATGAGGGGGGCCGGGATCCGAACTCAATCGGCCGGCCGCTATTCTACTCCGAACTGCTGTCAAGAAAGACCACGGCGGTTCATGGCCACCACGTTTTTGCGAATTGCTGACTGGGGGAGATCAATTCGTGCTGGACGGATCTGGCAAAACGGGCGGGCATCGTGTGATGCGGTTTTTAGTGGCGGTAGCTCCCATGTCTCGCGATTCTCTGGGGTTGGAGCCGTTTTCTGACAGCTGCAAGCCCGCAAACCCCGGATCCGTGACTGGACCGCATGCGACGTGCAGCAGACCTTGGCATGTTAGGGTTGCGGATGTGTTGACCAAACATGAGATGAAGTGCAGGATACATGTTGGTGCAACACTAAGGAATAGGATGCCAGGATGACAATCTAAGAATTTTGATGGCAAGAGCAGAGAAAAGGTGGTGAGCAAGGTAAGTAGAGACTAAGGTGGTTTGTTGGTCCGGATCGATAGGAAAAGATAGGGGACCTCGGGAGTGGCTTCTCAGGTTTTGCGGAGGATTTTGTGGGAGTGTGCCATGTGTGACTCCTTGCGATTCACGACTGCGAGTTGGTGAACCATTTCTGGGGCAGGGAAAGTGTGGAAGCAGTCGCAGACGTCGGGTGTTTGCTCCGCCCACTTTCCTCGGTCTGGCCATTCGGGCATTCAAGGTCGGGGAGGGAGACCGGAATGGAGGAGGAGAGAATCAGTGTGGGGAACGAGGTGAAGGTCCAATCAGGAATGAGTCATAATGCGGTTGAGTCAGCAGAGGTGGCTGGCCATTCAGTCGACTGCAGTTTCCGTTGTTGCTGTCGTTCTTTCCGTGCTTTATACGTAGCTGCCGGTACCTTAGGAACTTACCAGTAAGGTACGGAAGCAGGAAGCAAACATCGGAGGAAGGCGGTAAAGATGCAGCAACTGCAGCAGCGCGGGAAGGAGCAGTCAATGGGAGGGAAGGTCAGGCCGATATCGCCACCCCAGATTGGACCTGAGGCCCGTGCCCCTCCCCCGATGGGCAACGCTTGTTCGTTCTCGCCCCCGGCGTGACCCGTCCTGCGCCCTTCCAGCCAGTCACCGGCCGGCTACCCCACACCTCGACAGCCGATAATTTTTTTTTGGTTTTTTCCCTGGCTCCGAAACAGCAGCCGCGCCTCTCCACCACTGCTTCTCTGCGTTTTTGGTGCTGCCAGACTGTGTGTGAGAGGGACAGAGAGACTACCCGAAAGTAAAGAGACAGAGACAGAGACAGCGGTGACTCTACACAGAGTTAAACCCCGGTGTGCGGCGTGCCTGTCTTCTACCTGTCTATTATCCTTACACTACCAGTTGTGTCTGTGCCCGGCCCCCAATTGCCAACCTCGAATTTGACATCTGCTCTAATTTGCCAAAACCTTGTGACTGGGCTTTCTTTCCCTTCCCTCCTCCTTCTCTCCTTCTTCCCTCCTCCAATTGACTCCACGATCTCTGCAACCTCCATTCCCCTTGCGATCGTCCAATTCGACGAGCCGCTCCCCTCTCGCTGTCTGTTACTCTCTGCTCTCTTCTCAGAGACATTGACGAAGCATCACACCGAGTTACTCCTTCTCTTCTTTCTCTTCTTCTTTCCACTTTGCTTCCTCTCTCCCTCCCCGGTTCCTCTCCACTCCACCGCACATCATGATGCTCCGAACTCGCCACGCCGCTCGCGCCCTCAAGGCCGTCTCAAGAGCGAGCGCTCCCCGTACCCTCACCACCTCCTCCGCCGTCGCCGCCATCCAGGCCACCAAGAAGGTTCCTTCCGGCGTGAGAACCCAGGCTACCTCTGCCACCTCGCCCGCTCCGTAAGCTCTTTCCCATACTCCCATTGACTGGGGGAACTGCACAGCTACTCGACAAGACAAAGCTGGTGACTCACGAAACATTCAGCTAACGACTCTGGTTTGCCAATTGCAGTGAGGTCCGAGACACGCCCGCACCCGCCTTCAACGCCGACAAGAGCCATGTCCAACCTCTCCAGCGCTCTGCCGGCCCGGAGATGGACGAGTCGTACGTAGTCCCTCGTCGCCAATTATACCCACCGCCATTGTCGGCTTGTTGGAAGCGCGCGGGAAAGCTTACGGTGTAACACAGGTTCATCGGCAAGACTGGAGGAGAAATCTTCCACGAGATGATGTTGAGACAGGGCGTGAAGCACATTTGTACGTGACTCAACTACGTATATTAGGATGGCATCACAAAGACATAGGACTGACCGTGACTCACAGTTGGATACCCCGGAGGTGCCATTCTCCCGGTTTTCGACGCCATCTACAACTCAAAACACTTCGACTTCATTCTTCCCAAGCACGAGCAGGGCGCCGGCCATATGGCTGAGGGCTACGCCCGCGCCTCGGGCAAGTGCGGTGTCGTTCTCGTCACCTCCGGCCCCGGCGCGACCAACGTCATTACCCCCATGCAGGATGCCCTCTCGGACGGTACCCCCATGGTCGTCTTCTGCGGTCAGGTCGTTACCTCCGCCATTGGCAGTGATGCTTTCCAGGAGGCCGATGTCACCGGTATTTCCCGTGCCTGCACAAAGTGGAACGTCATGGTCAAGAACATTGCCGAACTCCCCCGCCGTATTAACGAAGCTTTCGAGATCGCCACCAGCGGCCGCCCCGGTCCCGTCTTGGTCGATCTTCCCAAGGACGTCACCGCCGGTGTCCTGAGGAGAGCTATCCCCACCGAAACCTCCCTGCCGTCTCTCCCAAGCGCCGCCTCAAGAGCCGCCATGGCCCTGCTCCAGAAGCAGCTTGAGCAGTCCATCAAGCGCGTTGCTGACCTCGTCAACATCGCCAAGAAGCCCATCATCTACGCCGGTCAGGGTATTGCCCAGTCTGAGGGTGGCCCCGAGATCCTCAAGGAGCTTGCCGACAAGTTCTCCATCCCCGTCACCACCACCCTTCACGGCCTCGGCTCCTTCGACGAGCTTGACGAGAAGTCCCTTCACATGCTCGGTATGCACGGTTCCGCCTATGCCAACATGGCCATCCAGCAGGCCGATCTCATCATCGCCCTCGGTGCCCGTTTCGACGACCGTGTCACCCTCAACGTCGCCAAGTTTGCGCCTGGCGCCAAGGCTGCCGCTGCCGAGGGCCGCGGTGGTATCGTCCACTTCGAGATCATGCCCAAGAACATCAACAAGGTTGTCCAGGCCACCGAGGCTGTCGAGGGTGACGTCGCCACCAACCTTCGCACTCTGATCCCCTACCTGAAGCCCAAGACGATGGAGGACCGCAGGGAATGGTTCGACAAGATCAGGGAGTGGAAGGCAAAGTGGCCCATGTCCGACTACGAGAAGGCCGAGCGCTCTGGTCTCATTAAGCCCCAGACTCTCATTGAGGAGCTCAGCAACCTGACCGCCGACCGCAAGGAGACGACCATCATCGCCACTGGTGTCGGTCAGCACCAGATGTGGACCGCTCAGCACTTCCGCTGGAGACACCCCAGAACCATGGTCACCTCTGGTGGCCTGGGTACCATGGGATACGGTCTTCCCGCCGCCATTGGTGCCAAGGTCGCCAAGCCCGACGCTCTCGTTATCGACATTGACGGCGACGCCTCCTTCAACATGACCCTCACCGAGCTTTCCACCGCTGCGCAGTTCAACATTGGCGTCAAGGTCATTGTTCTGAACAACGAGGAGCAGGGTATGGTTACGCAATGGCAGAACCTCTTCTACGAGGACCGTTACGCCCACACCCACCAGCAGAACCCCGACTTCATGAAGCTGGCCGATGCCATGGGTGTTCAGCACCGTAGAGTGAGCAAGCCTGATGAGGTTGTCGATGCTCTTAAGTGGCTCATTAACTCCGACGGTCCCGCCTTCCTTGAGGTCGTCACCGACAAGAAGGTGCCTGTCCTGCCCATGGTGCCCTCTGGATCAGCTCTCCACGAGTTCCTGACATGGGACGGAGGTTAGTAGTTCCAAACTCTTGATCTGTGTAAGCATAACTCTAATCCCTTGACAGAAAAGGATAAGAAGCGCCGCGAGCTGATGCGCGAGAGAACGCGTGGTCTCCACGGCTAAACAGCCAGCCCTCGCAGCTCTTTCTTGTTATCTAATCTTTCCACATTGGAGGCGTCCATGCATATTGCTCTCTCATTTATACCACCAGGCTTTGTCGGGTTCTCTTTGGCCATAACGAGATCTCCACCTCGAGCAGAAAAGTCGTTCCATTGGGATCAGGGATTTTTCCTACTACGGGCGACTGTATCGCAGGTTTCGTCCGGAACAAAACGAGTTCAAAAACAAAACAAAAATTTAAAAAGTGCTTTATCGCAGCATTTTCCGTAGTCTGGGGGCTTCATTTCGGGCATTCACACCAAAAATCGACCGTCACGGAGTTGGGTTAGTTTACCTCGGCCTTGTCAAGAGAATGTACATATATAAAACTTCACGAGTTGAATGTTGAAAAGTTTTTTTTGCACCTCACTTCAGTCATCCATTACTTTTCTCCATGCATGATGTATAAACTTAATAACGTGACCATAATAACATGAAGCTTCCAAGTACGGATGAGCAAACAACACATGCATCATTTGCTTTAGGGCAGCGGTGGCCCACTCGCTATATGACCACAGGGAGAGTCACAAGTCGCAGAACGCTTCCCTCCTCAAAAAGTCGTTCGTCAAGACGGCATCCATACATATGCCGGGGCAGCAGACTGAGTCGGTGATTGTAGGAGTTGCTCTCGCGTTCGCGCTGATGGATTTCGGAATTCTGCAACGCCGGATTTCTTGTTCGTACCAAGACCTTTTTTGCGATGGAGGAATCATTGATCTAGTATACTTTAGACGAGCTTGCTTTTGCGAAGGTTCTGTCTTGGTCTGCCGGCCGGGCGTGAAACCAATCCTGCCTTCTCGAAAGCATTCAGCTGCCACGAGCTCCGTAGGATGATGGCAGCTGAGAGGTTTGATCATGTTTTCTACTGGTGCTATCGATATGACAAGAATGGTAGCTGAGCTCCAGATCGACCTGGTCCAGAAAATCACAGATACCCTGTTCCCGGCGTGACGACTTTGATGGCGACTTGTCAATGAATGGGGCTAATCAACAATAAATATTTCGTTGGTGACTAGTCTAGTCAACCGTGAGTCTTCCTCTGAGGGGTAGGCTTCATTCTCCGTTGTATCGACTCTGTGAGGCGGCGAACAGACGATGTGACTGGCCGGAAGCAGCGAGACCGAGTTTATCACTTGAGGGTTGTCAAGATTCTCAGAAAATGTGCAACGCAATAACATTCTTTTGCCTTACGAAATAACTACCACCGCCAAAAGTGGGCAGACCAAGACCAAGGAAGTCGTATCTGCCACGCCTTTGATGATCAAGGCAGTTATCTAAAACTCGTTAATTGATGAGGAACAGGTGTTACTTATGGAAACAATGACGATGTAGTACAAGCCTCGCAGATTGTTGACTACATCGTATCTATCTACTCGCTGTCCACCTCGTCCTCCGAGTCTTGGTGGTTTGTGGCAACGCTTGCTCGCTACGCATCTCCTCTCTTACCATGCCAAAGCCTTTCGAATCTCATTATGTTTTGCATTGGCCCCATTTTCTCTGCCTCTTCCCGTCGCTTTAGTACTCCTGCAACTGCAGAGACAAGAAAAGCAAGAACCACGGCTATGACAACGGGAAGAGAGAGGATAGCGATTCCATATCCAAGCATTCTAGCACCGAGGTCAATGTCTTCAAACATGCCAACAAGAAACGAAACAACAACAAGAATGCTTAAGAGTCCCAGCCCCAGCCACCACAGGATTGGTACAAATTTCCGGAACAACACGTACATAGCTAGCTGGTGCTTTTGCTTAGCCATATCCTCAACCGAGTTCATGTTCCAGTATGCGATCATATCGATCTGGGCCAAGTGCCTAGTTCCAAACTTTACGAAGTTCAAGACCAAGATGGAACAAAGTGCGAGCGCGCCAAGTAGAATCATGACACCAAAAAGGTCGTACAAAAGCGAACCTAGGTCCTTGAATCGCGTCTGCATGCTAAGGATCCCTGCCGATATGGAGAGAGGCAAGAAAATTGTGGCAAGGATACTTGGCTGTTGGACATCATCCATTTGTTTGACTTCTCCCCTTAATTCTAGCAGTCTAAGGTCATGCTCCATTGTAGCGGTAAGTCTCGATAAGCTACCACTCATCTGTTTGATATGGAGACGTAGTTCAAAGTCTATAGCTGCTATTTCAGGGTTCTCTGATGTTGTGGGTAACGTAATGTTGGACCTTGGCGTTGGCGTTGGCGTTGACGATTCGGTAGGACTTTGCATGGCGTTCTGGAGGATCTCAACTAGTGATTCAATAACTATTACCATTCGATCTCCGATTTCTGAAAATTGCTGAATCAACTGATAGTCTCCAGTGATTTTCTCAACATTGCCTTGTTGGAGCTCCGTGCGAGTGGTGTATACCCCTTTATGCTTCTTGAAGCCCTCTTCGAATCTCAGAAGGAATCGAGTGTATGACAGTAGATTTGCGTGGCAGAACTGTAAACTAAAAGCCTTTTCCCATTTCGGTGGAGTTTTAAGGTGGCGATACATGGCATTCATTTCGCATAGCTGGGAAGCAAAAGAAGCTGTTGCCTGATGGAGACCGAATTCTTCTTCCAATAGAGAACGATCCAGGACCGTCCAGTCTCTATTGATACGTGTTCTACACATAATGAACTCTGATCAGTCGTCAGTGTCATGCTCAACTAAGTCAATCTCATAAACAAAGAAGAGCCTACCTTGTAATTTATTGCCAGTGTTCTGAAAGCGCAGATACCGTACAACATTGACCCAACCAAGTCGATCACGACCCATGACCTCCTCCGTCCTTTCTATGAAGTCGAAAGACTCGAGTCTGAACCACCGGAATGGACTAACATTAGGCTGATTGGTAATCAAGGACAAGAAACCCGCAGTATTGTTTGCAAGGGAAGGAAACCTGCACGGAAAATCATCTCCAGATGTGGAGTCATTTCCACGAACGTCATCGCTAGGCAATTCCTGAAGGAACACTCGAGTCACCCCATGTCTTTGTAGTGGGACGCCGCCCATGAATGACTCTATCTGGACGTTGTTGACATCATCGTCAACGTCGCTTCGAAAGGTGAAGGGGTTTCTCGGTATCGGTCGGGGTGGATGGTGAACCAGGATCGTCCCATATCCCAATGTAACGACCTGGTTGATCTAAATGGATCCAAGGATCACTGGAATATAATTCTGCTGTCTTTGCAGCCCTGAAGATTCGGTCGAAGAGAGCCTTTGGTTGCAGCAGGCTTCCTAACACTGACAGTGAGAATGAAGCAAGGTACAACAGGTCTCCAACAAGCTCGGCCGCGCCCATCATGGAGCAATGAGAAATTTGGAATTTCCGAGAAACGGATTGTCAAGATGACAGGAAAGGAAAGATTTACAAGGCTATCGGCGACAGACCTGCCGGGAGACAGCCTTTATATTTCAAGGCAGTCGTACATCCCAGCCTGCATCACACCAGTCAGCACGCTCAACCAATCGGGCAGTTCGCATTTTCAGAAGCTCACCACTACGATACCTTCTCCAACGCATCCCACCACTGAGACACTTAGGTAGGCCCTGATAAAAAAGCCATTGCCGGTCATCGGTGACCGATTAACAGTCACAGTCTATAGAGGAAAGAGTGAGCTTGAATATTTATGGACATAATATCGGGCGAACGTCCTTTAGGCGGGTGACAGTCGCATAGTCGCTCTCACAGGCCTGTCATGTTGGGAAGGTACGCGCAGAGAAGATGCTGTGTAACTTGCCGGTGCTTCCGATGATGACGATCATTGTCACTTTACTCCCTATTACCTTTCTTTCCTCTCTTCAAGCGAATCGAGGGAATCAAGCTTTGAACTGTAGTGAAGCAATATGGGCGACAATGATAATGATGATGTGCTTGCGTACAAGTTCTCTTCTCACGAGACCTTATCTGACGGACCTGAGCTTTGGTGTGAGACAGCTTGCCAAAAACCATAACCGCCTCCAAGGGTATCTCCTGGCGCAGACAGTCCCTTCGAAGTAGGAGCTGCCTCCTTCGATTCCTCATAGGCCTACTCCTGTGGATCGGACCAAGTTGGAGACGATCACGGGCCGGTTGATAGTAGGAGATTGGGGATTATTTCGTGCTCCTTGTATCTCCCATTTCATCATTGATACAAACGATGTAAGGGTCCGGCATAGTCATGATTGGGCATTATCAGGAATGGCAAATGCATCTAGCTGCTACTTTACACCGAAACGTCAAAGTGCACAAATATGAGTAGGGGGAAGTAGGAGCAAGAAAGATAACTCCAGTCAAATTGTCTATATGGTATTTCCATCAAAGAACGCCCAGGCGTCATCATAATCATCGTTCTGTCAGCGCCGCCGTCGGATGTCAACAAAGCAATGTAAGTGGGTAGCCACTTCCCTCGCCTCTCTAGCGTCCTCGGTGACCCCGACATGTTGTCCAACCCAGTATAGCAAAGTAAGCTCATTGGGGGTATCTTGTAGTCTATAGTTTTTCGATCCCGACCCCGAAACTAACAAAGAAATCCAAAGGAAACATGTCTGTGAAGCTGCGCCACCACCCATGCATTCATGTCATGTAAAGCGTTAAGTAATACAAGTCTAAAATGGTTCATATGAACAAAGAAAATAGAAGAGGGGAAATTGGTGCAGAGACAAGCGCGTTATGTCTCAGATCCACCCAGGCAAGGCCGTCTTCTCCTCGACGGGTGACGTGACGGGCGACGAACGGCCACGACGCTTGAGGCGCAGGTTCTCGAGGCTCCTCATGCCCCACGAGCGGGGACGTTTTGCCGCGGCGGTGGTGGCAGAGGTGGATTGGGGGATCTGAAGCAACGGGCCGAAGCTGCTATCCTGGTCTTCGGTAGGTTGCGGCGAGGGTGTGAGGTGGCGCGCAAAGTCGCCGAAAGACCGTCGTTGTTGTTGCTGCTGATGAGGCGTAGTAGCATCGATCCAGGGGTAGATGGGGTTCTGGGGCAGCATGTTCGCCGTCGCCCTGTTACCCGGCATGAACATGGGATCAAAGATCTGCTCGTCCTCGGGCGGGCCTAGCACGACATCCGTAGACCAGGCGTCGCGCTCGGGGATGACGAGGGGAGTGCCCGGGTGCGGGTACGCCAGGGAATCCGGCTCCTCGGGAATCGAGCGCGGCGGCGGGTGCGAGACGGTGGCGAGCTTGACGGGGAAGAGGCTGCGGCGGAGGGCGAACATGGTCATCGCCGACGGCGGTTGCTCTTCATGCTGCTGCTGACCGCTTTCGCAGACAACGTCGCGGAGCTCGCCATGGTTCCTCCCTTCGCCTGCGAGCGGGCAGCGGGACCGGACGGGCCGGGTTGCTTCGCCTGGGAACTCGGGGGCCGGGTGCTCAGGGGAGGAGAAGCACGTCTGGCCGAGCGTCCAGGCGGCGTGGAGGATGCGCGGCACGTCGGCGAGGTGGCGGCACTCGAGGAGCTTCTTGAGGTCGCCGGAGGAGCGGGGTTGCCAGCGGAGTTGGTTGCGTGCGGCTTTGTCCCAGAGGGTGTGCTTCCACTCGTCTTTGAGGGAGCGCTGGCGGAGCAGGTTCTGCATCTGGTGGTAGTATGTCCATTCTGATGAGACGAGAGTGTTATTGCAGCCGCCGCTAGTGTTGTTGATGGTGCTGCTACGTTTGTCAAAGTGGCTGGCGAGGTGATCAAAGTAGGCGTCGGCCGTCTTGGGCGCCTCGCCGTCGTCGGCAGCCTCGTAGACCTCTTTGCAGCCGATGAAGCCGCAGGCGAAGACGACCTGCGCGCAGAGGCCGACCTTGACCTGTTCCGCTGCCGCCACAGCCGCGGCGGGAGGGTATGCCGCCTCGCCTTGGTGGTGGTCGAGCTTGACGTGGGCAATGTATGCCTTTTCAAAGTCAAAGATCATGCGGCAGTTGTCCTGCGGGCAGACCCAGATGCAGTCGGTGTTGTGGAAGTTTTGGAGGTGCTTCTTGAAGTCGCTCTTCCTGCCGAAGCCGACGTAGACGTCGTGGATGGCGCACATGGGACACTCGATGGGCTTGCGGCCGCCGACAGTACCGGAGGACGGGGACCTCATGCTGGCAGCGGCCTTCTTCTCGCGTGATGGTGTTGAGGAGAGGTGCTCACTGATGTGGTGATCATGCCACTCGGAGCCGGAGAGGGAGGGTGTCACGGAGGGCGACATCAGGAACGGAGCGTCCACGGCGTCGGCCCAAGGGCCAGCTGCGGCAGCGCCGCCGGGCTGCTGGCTGAAGTAGCTTCCCGATAGCGAGGCAGCTTCTGAGCCGCACAAGGACGCATCGGAGCTGCTCCAGGGGCCGGCACTGTTTGTGAGGGATGGCGCGCTGTTGTTGCTGCCAAAGGTTGAGGTGGAGAGGGCCGAGTTCCTTGCCGGGGCGTCCATGTGGTGAGGGTTTCGGTGGTGGTGCTGGGGCGGAGGCCGGAGGGATGTATAGTTGCTGCCGCTGATGGTACGGAGAGTGGTTTCCAAGCTTCCGGAGCCGTACCGACCGGCGAGGTCGCACAGAGTCCGGACGTCTTCTGGTAACATGTTTGATGGGCTCCTAGTGGGATACATGATGCGCTCACGGTTCAGTCGCTGTGAGACTGATGATGGTATCTATCGTTGCATGAAGCGTGGGATGGTGTGTTCAAAGGTGTAGTTGGTGTAGTTGTCCTCGGCTACAAAATGAACGAGTAAACGGAACGACATTAATTTGAGGGAGGACTGGGCGAAGTGCGAGATGGGGTGCGGTTGTTATGTAGTGGACGTCGACTCGATCGCGATGCGAAGTACGTATTAGCGGGCCGGAACGTATGACAAGATCCGAATGGCAAAGGGAAAAAAAGAAAGCCGCCAAGGCTAGGCACGAAAGAGCAGCGACTGGACATTTGTATACCAGCCCTCTGTCTTGCCAAGTCAAGACAACCCATCACCCCATCAAAGAAGGCCACGAGGAGGAGACCAAGTCAAGCATGGCCAGGTCAGGTTGCGAGCCTCTGAGAGAACGCCAACGCGAAACTAATGGGAGGAGGCTCGACTAAGGGGTGAATGGCGCTGTCTGACGAGTGGCGTCAAGTTCATTCGCTGAACGTTCTAGTCGACTTCCATCAGTGCGTATGTGTAAGGATATGTGGGAATGCGCGTGTGTAAGTGGTGGTTCTCTTGCGCCTTCTTTCGCATTAGCGCGGGCGCAGGGCTCAGGACTGAGGCCGTTTTGGAGCAACGGTGAAGTAACTCCTGCATGGGGTCTTGAGTGGCCATTTGGTAATGGTAATGGTGATGGCGGGTTACATTCCTGGATGAGAATCCAATCAGCCTCAGCCTGGCTCTAGGAAGGTCTCCTGGAATTGGGGAATGGGGTGTCTGAGTTCCCATCGCTCGCGGCATTCGCTGCGGAGAAGTTGCTCTCGAACAGGTACTTCAGAGGAAGCTCGTTGTTTACAATAACACCCGTTACTATGGTCCACAACTTTGTCAAACTTGACCAAGCCTTCTAGAACAAATCGGATCCTCGGGAGCCTGATTCCCATTGAGGGAGATGCACGACGGCTCGACTTCAAGCGTCTTGATCCAAGGACCAACCGGGGTAAGCGGCAACCCAGGGAATGAGACAAGAAACGCTGATCTCAACCCATTCGGATGCCGCCTTCCCCCTCTTTTCTTTTGCGGCGAACCTTCATCTGCACAGATTTCCTACCTCTTGAACCAGTCAACCACCAGGGACGACCTCTCTCGACGAACCAAATCACAACAGAGCCGCTTGCCTCGAGCAGGAACCCACGCCCTTGTTCGTTATGTCCGGCTGACAGATGCAGGTGGAGCAAAAAAAGAAAAGACACACAGAAGCAGGGGGCGAGCAGGCAGAGAGTCAAGAGAGACCAACTACCTGTGTAACGATGACCACTGACAGCCTGATAGGACGCACTCGAGTCCTGGCGGGGCTGTGTAGCGCCCAGCTGGGCGAAGGAAAGTGGAAAGCCAAGACCGTTAGCGGCCTTCTAGAATGGCGCTAGAACAAAGGATCCGCATGACTGTGTTTTTGGTTTGTGAAGGTGGTGGTGAGATTGGGTGTGGGTTGAGATGGTTGGTGATGAGGCAAGGGTGGACGTTTCCCCTAGTCGAGAGCATGAACAGACATATCTTGGACTAGATGGGGTTTGGATTCCATCAACGAAGGACCTAACCGTTGTCGCCGGAACGTCGTGTCGGTGTGTCGTGTCGTTGTCATTGCCATGGGGCCAGCTCCTGGTCCGTGATCAATATTACAGTCTCGCGTCTTCCGGAGCCGAAGCCCCGGGACGATTCAAAGGGTGTCTCTCAACTGGTCCTCTATCCGAGTCTTTGTCCTCCTTCCGACGACGCCAAAGACTTCCCCGCCAGAGAGATTCCTTTG